CTCCTTTTCCTCAATCGAATTATCTTCAACATCGTAATCTCTTTTTTTATTAAGGATCTTTTTAACGTCTTGTTCACTTTTCTCTGCGGATACATCATCATTTTCCTCTACGTAAAAGTCCTGTTTTTTTCCTTCAATCATCTCGTCAATTTTATTCTCAAATGTTTCTACATCATCTAAATCATCTTTTGGTATAACGATTTTTCGTTTAGCATAAAAATAATCTTCATTCATCTCATCATCTGATTCTTCATTCTCGGCCACATCTAATCCTGCGTTATAAGCAAATTTAATAGGAACTAATTTAGGAGAATTTGCATTTTCCTTCTCTATCTCTTCTGCGTTATAAGCAAAACTAATAGGAACCAACTTTGGAGATGTGGTAACTTCCATTAATTCTAACTTATCTGTAAGCGTAACTGTATTGGTTATGGATGGGAACATATCCATAGATGATTGCACCGTTAAAACCTATCGAGATGATAGAAAGAAACGGAATAAATTATAAATAATGTGTTTCAATTGTTTCCAATAAATAAAGGTGAATTATTGATGATAAAATTATGAAACTTGCTTAAACAGAATGTTTCTATTGGATTACCTTTTCCACAGCTCGAAGCCACTTGATCAAAGTTTTATGATGTTGAAAAGGCTTTACTATAAGCTCAGAAAGCCTTTGAATTGTAAATGGTGGTCTTATAGATCAAGGTAGAAAATGACACTTTCCAAGTTAATATTGAATAATGACAAAGCAAATGAGATCAAAATTATAGTTACCTATCAAAATTGTCCAATAATTGAATAATGGCATGCATATAATTTTCAATATCTTTTTCGTCTCCCTCATTTTTATCCGAATCCTCACCATTTATCACAATTGAAATTTCTGGGTCATGGGACGTCTACAGAAAGGAATGATTCATATTAGAACTTTTTTAAAATTTAAATATGAATTGAATTCGCTTAGAATACCTTTGTAAGTCTCTCTTTGATGATCTTCTTAACTTTTAACCAGGAAACGCTTTAAAAACCAGAGTAATATTTTACATTTAATGAGACGCGAAATGTGTCTTTCTTTTCAATTTTTTTTTTTAAAATGGATAACACGCACAGACATACTTCAATTCGTTATTTTCGGCGATATACAATAGAATTTCATCGTCAGTATAAGAATTGGAAGGTTCTAGTAGTAGTATAAATGACGAAGCAATTAATGAACAGAACATGTGGAATACCGAATGAGACAGAATTAGGAAACTCACGATCTTGTTCCTTCGGTGATTTAGGCTGCGAGTCGAGTTGTGATGATTGCGGTTGTGTTATACGTGAAGGAGAAAGTAGGTTGACAGGTGATGGAGGTTCTGATCGAGGATCTTCTGTAGTAGTTTTAACCGGAGAACTTGTAGTTTCTAATTCTTAAAAGAAAAACAAACTTTGAGTAGGAAAAAGACTACAATAAATAATAATATTATTAATATAATTAAGATTATTATTTATTTACCTTCGCTAGTTAGGCTCGTCGTAGCCATAACCTCTTCGGTTTTTGGCTTGGAATAGAAGAAGCTGAAGAATGATGACATATGGTTATAAAAATATTTTGACAAACAAAAATGTAGGAACTTGTGTCATGTAATTAATATTTATCACATCGGGCGTTAACTTAGATAAACATAAATGATGCTTATGTAATCGATCCTTGACGAAAAAAGATCGTTTTTTCGCATTTGACTCATTTCGCTCATAAAAAAAAAAAAATATGATTTCTAGATTAGTATTATTAACTTTAAGAAGAACGGTTAAAAGTTCTTTAAATAATGTTTATATACAGCACCGTCCCCTGTCTACACGAACAAATACATTGCTAAGTTCTCATAATGGTTCTTTACGCTTTTGTGAATCAACGAGAAACGTGAATATGAATAGAAATAATTTGTACAAGTTCCCGAATTTTCAAGGTAAATTGTTAATTATTATATATTATTTTATAGTGTAGAATACATTGGTTAAGTAAATATTGGTGTTTTAATATATTATAGTTCGTACAATGTTCATTCAAACCGAAACTACGCCTAATCAAGACTCATTAAAATTTAAACCTGGAGTATCGGTTATGCCGGATGGTGGAACGGCAGAATTTCTTTCAGGAAATTCAGCGACAACCTCTCCACTTGCAAAGAAACTGTTTCAAATAGATGGAGTTCGAGGGGTATTCTTTGGACCTGATTTTATTACCATAAGCAAGGACCAAGATACACCTTGGCAATTAATGAAACCTGATATATATGCAGATATTATGGATTTCTTTTCTTCGGGACAACCGATATTAACAGAAGCTCAACCACCTTCTGATACAGAAATTAAAGATGATGATCCTGAAGTTGTTCAAATGATTAAAGAATTATTAGATACAAGAATTAGACCTGCTATACAAGAAGATGGTGGTGATATTGAGTATAGAGGATTTGATAATGGGATTGTCAAATTGAAATTGAAAGGCGCTTGCAGATCTTGTGATTCTTCAGTTATAACACTGAGAAATGGAATTGAGAATATGTTAATGCATTATATTCCAGAAGTTACTTGCGTAGAACAAATATTGGATGAGGAAGAATCAGTTTCTCAACATGAATTTGAAAGGTTGGAACGGAAATTAGGAATGACTTAAAATCAATATCTCAAAGATTACTTTTTTTTAATAATAATTCATTATTTATTTAAACTATTTCATTCTATATTATATATTTAAAATATTGTAATGTATCATTATATATAAACCTAAATCTAATTTTAATATTACGGTGTAAACTAATTTTTATAAATTGAACGGATTGATATTATTAATAAAGCTCGTTACATTCCTACCTCTCAACTACTTTCTTCGTTATCTTGTTGATTCATTGCGTGAAGCTGCGTGTACATTTTCACCAAAGATTCGTAACCCATGAAATCACCGCATCGAAGTAAATTTGCTATTGAATTTCAAAAATATTTGTTAGATACAATAAGTACAAGGAAGTCAAAGACTTAATTATAAAGTTCTTACCAGCATCGCAATTCAGTGGACTTGTCGGTTCCGGATTTGACAACAATAATCTGATCGCCATACACGCAGACTGTAAAGTCCACGCAGGACTCCAAGCCGTTTTTAAAATATCAAGACAGATCTCCCCAGTCTAAGTAATAAATAAAAATGAATATTTTTCTTGACACTTGTATGCGATAAATTGATTACCTTAAAAGATATATTTGGATGACAGATCTTTGTCAAGAACTTGATTTTAGGTGGATGAATAGGATATGATTTTGGAACTTCAATACGTAAAGTCCATTTCCCTCCTAATTAAGATAACGTAGCAAAATACAATGAACGAACAACTTAAACTAAATTACCGTTAAAAAAAAAGATCGCATTACCTTCATAAGGAGTGTCCGACTCTCCACGTAAGACTGCATTCCAGATCAAGATGTTATCATCCGATATGGGTGATAGCTCAATAAGATCTGGGTTTGGTTCGTTCTGGTAATCTTTGAGCTCTTTAAGTAATCTTCTTGCTACTGAATCTACCATTTTATGTATAAATAAGAAAATGGAACGTTCACCAAAACTTTAATGAATTTTAATGATTGGATATAATTCTGATTGGCTGAAATGTAAAGAGGGTAAGTTTTGTGGTTTTTTTTAAAGCGGACATCACGTGATTAAGATATTTGTGGATTTTGGTTTTTTATACCGTAAAAAGCAAGCAATAATTATGAAAAAAAATTATTTTCTCAATTAGTCCCATGAATTTGTAAATACTATATCATATGATCAGCCCTTTATATTTTTCCGATGCACATCCTAACGTCATCATAAAAATCATTTCTAGAAAATAAAATCACGCCCGCACTGGTCGAAATGGTCGTTCGTCAGTTATACTTATACAAGACATGCAATGTCAGAATCCGTGAATGCTAATAAAATCAAAGAAATTTTTTAATGAAAAAAATGGATATTAGTTTAGGGTTGCTTTCTTTTGTACAGCCACACTTTCATAACGAACTCTTCTAGTCTAGAACTTTCTTCAGTAATTTCTTCAAGTTTATTCATCTTGTGCAAGTAAAGCAAAGAATAAAATACGAAATACTTAAAATTTACCTTATAAAAAAATTATCAACTATCAAATTTACGTTAATCTGCATACAATTTTCTTTTTCGATCATAATTTCTTATTGATAATAAATCGAAAGTAAAAAAAAAATGATATTTCCATACATATTATTATATTCGCAGAGTCATAATTCTTTATTAATAAAATAAAATTACGTTATAAAACAATTTCATTTTCATATATAATAGCTAAGGTTTTGCAGTTTTGCTATGCATATAAGATATATTTACCGAAATTAATAATAATTGATAATTCTCAAGATAAACAGGAAAGTTCCCACATACAATATTCATGATAAAAATGCTTTACTCTTTTGAAAAAAAGGCTCAATATATTGACGCGGAATTTTTGTTCTCCTTTCACAATCATCAATATCAAAAAATTCGACACGATCTTGTTCTTCCATTATAGTTTTAGCACGTTTTTTTTGCAATTCCCTCAATTCCAGTCAGCTGAGTGAATGTCGCTTTATTAATATCTGGTGGCCCCATAGCATAATTATAGCATCTCCCAGCGAAAGGACCGAAATATTCTTTCCAGTTTCTTTTATTAATGATTGCAGACATTGGTTGGAGTTCAAGTTGTTGGGAGAATGCTGATGTGTAAAAAATGAAAATATCACCTGAACTAGTTGCTTTTATATATTCTTCTTCAAAAGTTTTCTGAGAAATGCTTTGTTCTCTCAATAATTTGTATTGATGTGCCTCCGTTTGTAGTTGTTTAGAGACCTGACATATTGAACAAAAGCTATCTCCAAACTTAGCAGCAGATGCATTGATTATAATATGACTTGCATTTGCAAGATCAATTCGTCCTTTCTGACACAAAATTGTTGTATCTTGATTCCTATAATCTTCAGACTTGGTGCTGACTCTTTCAACTGATTTTGATAATGTAAGTTGTCGATTAGATATGGAAACTTGGCCAAAGTTATGCGTGGCACCATTATGAATGGCACTGAGATCAACTCGTTGGTCATAATCATAGATATTCGATTTTAGAGAGCGAAACTGAGCAACAAAATACTCAAATGTTGCCAGTATTGGCAACCAGATGGGATACTAGGTTCTCCTGCTTCGTTGAGTACCTCATTGTAGTAAGCAAAATCCCAATTCCGTAATAAAGGATCATTTATATTTTCGTGATATGCGTGAGCCATAATCCATAGCCAAATGTATGGACACGATAGATAACCAACAACTCGGTCAGGATCGAAACTCTCAAATCGAACTAGTCCAAACTGTATTACATCATCTATTTTATTGTTTCTCCGTCAAGACCAAGGATGGTTTGATTTTTGTTAACAGATATATGTGCCAAAATAATGCGGAGGATAGGTCTCAAATAAGCAGTTTTGGCCAGCCATCCCGAATAATTATATGTGAGATTCAATCGCACATTATTTATTAGATCGATAAAATTGATTTTGCTTAAATCTTTATCTTCAACTGCTTCTCCCAAAGCTTCCAATGCACGTCCATAACCTCCCATATCATCTATGAGCATATCCATTATTGGGCTATCATTAAAAACTGGGATGTTATTTATTTTCGGAGGCTGTAATGATGTGACTGGTAGAAAAATTCTTTTTTGTGCTGAACTGGCAAGGAAATCATGAATGTGCTTGCTGATGGTGACCGTACAACAGACAACAAAAAATGGACCAAAAAGCGAAAGAATGCCAAGTGAGGAGATGCAATCGTAAAAAAATAATTTGTGTTTTTGTTTTTTCCATCTTTAGGATGATCCATTGCTACTTGTAAACCATCCAGAATAATAATTACATTCAGATCCTTAACTTCTTGAGTGCGATGTTTGGCAATTTTGCGCAATACATCTTCTGGCGTTACATCATATCGATTCTTAAAATCATTCCAAGTTTCATTAGGTTGTTTCAGTAATTGAAAGAGCATTCGATTACCAATTGCATTAGAGCTTATGTTTTCTTCTCCCCGAATTAATTTGGTCCCATTTTCAAACGATAAATTAAATACAAGAGCATCTTTAAGGCGATTTTGTAAGTCGGCATCACTTTCAGCACATTCAATTAATAATTTTGGCAATTCTTGCGCAGTGCGAGATTTACCTTCTCCAGCTCCTGCTAGAATGAAATATTCTGGTATTTTTGTTTTTTCACGTTGTTCAGCTTTCCAAAACTTGTAATGATCATGAATTGCTTCCTTAAGTTTTCCTCTCAAAGCATTTGAGGCTTGAAAGTCCCAAATGGAACCACTTCCTATGAGAAGAGGATGGGGATTACGAAACTCTAATTGATCAGGTAGCTTTTGTGCTTTTAGGAAAAAAAAAAATAACATCAGACAAAAATCTATATATGATAACCGCGAATTTTATTCGAGAGGTAAAACACTTACCAGTGGCGATGATGTGAATGTTACTCGCTGTAAATTTTACTTGATTATCTAATTCAGCTTGAAAATATTCAATAAACTGTTTATGAGGTTTCATTTCATTTCCGTTAAGTCCTTTTACAATTTCATCTTCGGTAAAAACGTTTTTATCTTTAATCTTTTCTTCATCGAAATTAACTTTCCAAAGTTTAATATCGTCAGAATTATCAACTTTTTTCTTTTCACAGATATAATCCCTGAGGAGAACAACTGTTAATACGTTTAAATTGATTATATGTTGATCAAATATGACGAATCTTTCAACTTTGTCTTTGAAAATGGCAACTGGAAAAAGGGCAGAGCTGTTAGTGTTTTTTAGAAGTAAACAATTAAATTGCTATAAAGTGATAAATTCATTTTGAGTTTTCGAAGAAATTTTGGAGCGCTTTTGAGAAAGTTTGAAATCATATAAATACTGTAATGACCTTGCTAAATACATTGTGACTAATAATAAGATAGACTCTTGATAGACTCTTGATTGGTGGCTTGTTATGACGAAATACAGCAGATACTTCGAAAAAGTTAAGCATAATAAAAAAAAAAATTTCATTTAAAAAAATAGTTTTACAGCGAAAAAAAAAATTCTAAATATTTATTAGAATTGTACGATTGAGTCGAAATCGGATTTGCATTATCATCTCAAAACATACCCAAAAAACGGAATAATTAAAAATGTCAACATACCAATTGGATTAACCTTCGCAAATCATAACGATATATATGGCGCCTTTCGGCTATCATTTTTTATTATATGCACATTTATGCGAGTACATCGTGGGCTTTGAATTTTTTTCGATATGTGAAATCCTATTTTTTATTTTATTTTTTTTTTTTAACGATGTGGTACTGTTGTAATTTTATTAAATTTAAGTTGAAAAATATACAAATATCAAATTAAATAAAAATAAAATAGAATAAGAGTAAAACAAAAAACAAAAACTACAACTATCCCCCGTGGCTCTATTTCAAACCCGTATGGATTGACCAATCACCGGAAATTCGAAACCAAATTGTAAGGCTGAACAAGTCCATTTCTTCCAAGAGTTAGAAATCCTAGGAATGATTCGTGGACTAGCGAACTTTTTAACCTGCCACGCTTTTTCTTCCTTCTTGCTGAAATACATTTTAGTTTTTCTTTTTTAATCGTTTCAACACATCTAGGAACCCAGATCTCATCATAGAAAGAAGATATGAGGAAATTAACGGAATGTATTAAAATGTCATATGTGAAATCCTATTTGTCACGCTTATTTTTCCGGTGATTTTTGTTTGTTGCGCTGGGGAAGTTTCGTGGGAGCCAAAGTGACTCGTGACTGTAGCGCAGTAAAATGCTCAAAATTTTTATCTTCTCCTATCACTATAAAGATGTCGTAAAATTTTCTGGCCGTATTTGTTCACTTGCGTACCATACCTCTTTTCACATTTTCCGGAAGTATTTCCTTAACTTCTTCGTTCAGCTTTGTATGCGCTGTTTGTGGGGGATTGCTTTGCGAATCGCTTTCCCGAAACGAAAATAAAACAAATTAACTCCCTATTATTTCGATCCACGTTTTTTTCCGCAATATCAATGTCATAGTATAATTTATGGAATTGAATCGAAACTTCGCCAATGTCAGAACCTTCGGAAGGTGCACAAATTGATAATTCACTAGTTGGTTGAATGGACAACTCACGAATCATGAGTTTAGGCTTTTGTCACTCTGGTAAATTTACGTGATTCAACTTGCCACTTTCTTTTCTTGGGCGTTTCATAGAAAGTAGGTGAAATGTAATAGCCTTCTTTTCAAATCATCAATTCGGGGCATAACTTTCTATTATTACCAATGCATTCAAAATGTACCTTATGTTTGCATGGTACAAGATCAAGTGGAGGTAATAACGAATCACTATCATCGGACCACACCCACACAAGTGATATAATGATCCTCTCTTATCAATTTTTTTCACGCAAGTCCGATGGGCAATATCACCACAAATGTTTTAAACGAGAGATCTGCTAAAATGGCCATGAAAAATCAGGTTTTTTTTACGAAGAATGTCCTCTGGGTGGATTTCAATATATTTAATGCAATTATTTTAAGAGCTCTATTACGTCTTGGATATACTCTGTAAAGATCACGGGTTTGTGTGGTGACGATCAAGTCATACCCTTGTTAATCCTACTAAATTTCGTACCCCCTCCCCTAATCATGTTACGATGAGTATACAAACTTTCTCGAGACTTTTGCCTATATTTATGAATACTGGAACTTTCTTATAATATAAAACTTATGGAACAACAATAAAGATTCTTTGACATGTGGGCTGGTTAAGAACGCGAAGGTAAAAAGGTAAACTATTTCTTTATTTGATTTTTTTTTTTTTTTTGGTACGTTTTATTTTTTAGTTGTCGGGTTCTAAGGTTAGAAAGAAGGTAAGCCATTTATTTATTTTTGCTTTGTTTCTTTTTTTTTTTCTTTTTTTGTTGGAGAGCTCTAAGGTAAGAAGGTAAGCCATTCCTTTATTTGCTTTTTTTTTTGTTTTGTTGTTTTTGACGTGAGGGTTGGATAAGAACGAGGTATGTCATACTTTTTATTGTTTGCTTGTTGTATTTTTTGGTGGTAAGAGTCTAAGGTAAGAAGGTGAGCCATTTCTTTATTTGCTTTTTTTTTTTTGTTGTGTGAGTTGGATAAGAACGAGGTATGTCATGCTTTTTATAATTTGCTTGTTGTATTTTTGGTGGTAAGAGTCTAAGGTAAGAAGGTGAGCCATTTCTTTATTTGCTATTTTTTTTTTGTTGTGTGAGTTGGATAAGAACGAGGTATGTCATGCTTTTTATAATTTGCTTGTTGTATTTTTTGGTGGTAAGAGTCTAAGGTAAAAAGGTGAGCCATTTCTTTATTTGCTGTTTTTTTTTTTGTTGCGTGAGTTGGATAAGAACGAGGTATGTCATGCTTTTTATAATTTGCTTGTTTTATTTTTTTTTTCGTGGGTTTGTCTATCTCTTTATTTTGTTTTTTTTTTGTTTTGTTTTTTTTTGTTTTGGATATTATGGAGCAGCATGATGTTACGCGTGGGTGGGGGCGTGGCATGCTTATCTTTGGTAAGCCCGTGGGTACCCAGTTTTCTGGAAGTCTCATGGTAGGGCTGGTTGGGTATTTATCGGAACGGCATAGTACTATGCGTGGGAAGGAGCATAGGCGCTTACATTTCGTAAGCCTATTGGTACCAGCTTTCTGCTGCAGTCTCGTAGTAGGGCCGAAGTTTTTTATTTAAGAAAATCTTTTCAAATGAATACTTGTTTAATTGAACTAATAAAACTTACAAGCTCTTTAAGGAGTACTTTATTATTTACCAATAGTGAAAAAAAAAAATTATTGTATTACATTTTTAATAAAACTTTTAAACGCAAGATCAAACAGGAGCAAAAAAGCGTATTATTTTTAATGTTTTTTTTTTTAATGATTTGTGAGACGAGAGCTTTTTGACAAGTATAAATCGTAAAATAAATCGTAAATAGAAAATCAAATCTTTAAAGATGAGTTCGTTCAAATTTAAAATTTGATTTTAG